ACTGGACTAGTGTAGCTTATTCCTTATTTAACCATTTCAGATCAGGAGGATCTGGTTCCCGAGCGCGATCCACAAGAAGACTGCGAGTAGATGTTAGATACTTTATAATTTCCTTTATTTTTCTCATTTCTCGTATTTCTTTTAGAGAACTTATTCCATGATGTTGTTTAGTACTTTTAAGTTATTGTGTAAGGGATGTTAACTTTAATCTTTTATTTCACTTCCGTACTCAGATTATTTTATGTATTTCCTTTTGAATTTCTGAGGCCGTTATAGTTGGTATCAGAGCCGCGTTCTTCGGACCCGTCCCTTACACAATAATACTTAGAGAAACACCAAACCAATGAATCATTACTCAACCATTTCTTGTGAAATGCAGGTACAGAGAGATGAGAAGAGGAAGACCCCCACTAAATCGAGCAGCCCAGGATGGTTCGCTTCAGGAAGACGTTGACAAGATATTTTAGATGCTGGAGAGACTCATTGCTACCCAGTAGGGTCGAGAGGAGATGAGGGAGCTACCTAACCCTCTTCCGCTGCCATAAGTTGAGCCACCACTGCAGCGAGAGGATCGCGAGCACCCCGGTACGACCCTGCTCCTCAATAGTAGCACCCGACACCACTGCAGTATAATCCGGTACCTCAGCCAAAGTACTGCCCGGCACCGCCACAGTATAATACAGTGCCCCAACCGTATCAACAAGTACCACCTATGGCCAAATCGGAGTGAAAGAACTAGCCAATTGGCCGAAAAATGCCGTCGAAGCTCAGTAGCGCCACTGCGGGGTGTTTCGATTTTCGCCTCTGATGAGGCCCTTTCCGATTCCCGTTCGATGTGATTTTTCCACCGTTGTGATCACTGTTTCCTCCTTTACAGGTTGATTGGAGCAAAACATCCAACTGCAATGTGAGCCAGAAGAGCTACCGCACCGGAGAGCCCCACCGCCAGTGAGTTTTGATTTTCTACATTTTTTCGGCCCACCGAGGGCCCTAAGTGTATTTTCTCACAGGAACTGATGCAAGTTTG